CCCCGATGCCTGGAGAACATTCCAGTGCCTGACTCAGCAGCTCCCTGGCAAATGCACCCTGGCTGTGTTTTGTAACACTGCCCAGCTTGTTTCCACCTGGAACTTAGTTCTGGGACGCTGAAAATCTCTTCCCTGTAGCATCTCCACAACACAGCACAGTCCAAAGATCCTGGTTTGGAGCCCCCCAGCTCCTGAAGTCACACAGGGGACTTGATATCCCACCTTAAACAAGACTCGTAAACCTTCACTCCAATTTCCTTTAATTATTGTTTTTCTCCCTTCACGGACTTTTGCATTATTTAACGAACTCCCCTGCCCGAAAATAATTATTCCCTTCACTGGTTGTGTGCAGTCTGAAGGAGTAATTGGTGCAGAACAGGCAAATGACATCCTATTTATGCATCTCTGCCCGGGAATTCTGCTCTCTTTTGAAACTGTTTGATTGCAGATGTCAGTAGACAAAAACCTCTTGGCACCATGAAATATTAATCAGTTCTTCGAGTTTTATAAACATTTAGAAGTGTGTTAACTGCTCGCTTATTTCTCTCAGGGTTTGGTGGAAACATTTGCAGGGGGAAATGGATTAAATTCACAAATTTCGTGTGTTAGAGCAGAGGGGGAAAAAAAACACAGTGTGGGTGTAACTGGGGTATATCCTGGGGGGGAAAGGGGGGAGAAATGAGGATGTTGGGATAGATGTCAGTGGGTACCTCAGTTTGCCTCCCACCCAGGGGGGTTCCAAGGTGCAAACGGGAGCAAACCAACCCAGGTCCTCACTCCGGGGTCCCTGGAGTTGTGTCCTACCAGAACTGAGGAGAAAAAAAGGGAAAAAGAAGCCTAAAAATGAAACCCAGCCGGGTTGGGATCCCCCCTGCCCCACATAACCCACGTCAACAGTGTGGCTGAGCTGCCACCAGCGTTTCATTCCCTGGGCAAGGTGACCCTTCTCCATCTCTTCTGAAGACTCCCAACTTTCCATGCTGAAATTCGGGAGGTTGTAGCAGATTCTAGAACTCATTTGGAAGCACATAAACATCATTTTAGTGGAAATATTGGTCTCTGCTTTAGCTTTTGGGGTTTAATGGTGGCGTTCCCTCGGTCAGATCCAAGAGGAAAATAACTTGATGCTCCCAAACCTTTGGGAATTTCTGTGTTTTACCACTGAAAACGGGAGTGTGACGGGGCTGCTTGGCTTCTTATCCCTAAATAAAGGGATTTTTGTGTCCTACACACACAGGGCTTCCACAACTGAGCTCAGGACAGAGAAGCTGCCACTTAATTTGCTAACTCTGCTTTAATTAACCCTCACTCAGCCCCCAAGCTGGCGAGCCCAGATTTCCATCCTCGATTCCAGCAGGAGAAACATTCAGTGCTTTGCTACACAAAGACACTCAGAGTTTATTTAAAGGCTTGATCTGCTGTGGACTTTTTATCACTTGTCCAGTGAAGAACATGCAAATAAAAACTAGTTGATCTTCAATTATTGATAAAGAGTTGGAAGGCATCAAAATCATAGATTTCAATCAGACCCTCAATTAGTCAGAAAATTGAGGGCAGTCCTTGTCCTGAACCCAGGATTAAGGATTATTTGCATTTCTTTGTTTGTTATGAGAGGTGGGACATCATCCATGTTCTTCATTTTCTTCTGGAAGTGTAAAATAAACAGAATAGGAATCCCATAACAACTTATTGGTTCCCAAATTGGAATTGGGGCCTTCCTCTTCTTCCCTTTCTTTCATTTGTCTCCATTTATTTTCCATTTAGAGGGACTTTAGAGGCCCCTTTGATTGGCTTTGTTCTTAATAAAGCCAAGCTGGAAGTGGCAGTAGAAACAGGCCAATACTCAGCAGGCCTTTCTATTGGAAATTAAAAAATGCTTTGCTTTGAGATTTGATTTTAGAATTTCGTGTTCAGCAGCAGATTGATCATTTGGGAGAATTAAGAAGGGTGTTCCCCCACAATGAATGCAAGAGGGGGCAAAATAATCAGAAATAACCCCTTTGGGATGACCTCAGAGTGTCTTGGTTGAGTTTCTTTAGTGGGTCTTTGCACACTCAAGTGACAAACTGGTGCCACACCCAGCTGTGGTTCACTCAGGGGAAAAAAAAAAATCAAGGAATTATTTGGAAATTGCCACATCTTTAAGGCTCCTCTTACACCTGGAGGTTGGTGTTCAAGGAGGAAAATGATACTTACAGCAGATTGTAAGAGTTTTAGACTTAGCCCAGGCAGGATTGATGGCTTAGAGACCTTCCCCTTCCAAGGAAAAGGAGTTGGAACCCCCCAAGCACCTCCAGGCCAGACACAGGAGTTCAAGGGATTCCTCTCTCTCCTCCAGAAAACATGGATTGTGGCTTTTAAGTATTTAAACCAGTATTTGTGTTATTTTACAGGAAATTTCTTTCTCATCATATCCAATTTCTAAACCTTCCTGAATTCCTCAAAGCCCAACTCCTGGGGAAAAAAAAAAAGAGAACACTAAGGAAAATAAAATAAAAGCAACCAAGCAGCTTTTCAACCCATCCAACTGCATTGCCAGTCAGGACAGAGCCCCAAACTTCGGGAAGGATTGGAATTTTGGAAACAGAGCCACCAGACAAGTCGTGTTCTCAGTATTGACCTTTATTGAGCAAGAACTGCTGTGACTGTTTTACATCAAACAACAAAAGGTTGCGGACTGTGCATGTCAACAAGGTTCTCCCACGAGCAAAAGTCCACCCTAATTGCACCAGTGAGGTAAACATAATTATTTATAAGTAGCTTTTATTATTATTATTATTATTATTATGAATTTTTTTTTTCTTAAGGCTAGGAGAGTTTTTTTTCTGGTTCTCATGAATATTCTACGACTGTTTTCTGTTCTGTTTTCACTTTTTTTTTTTTTTTGGCTCAGTTGGTTCTTTGCATAATACATCTCAAAGCCATCCCTCAGATAACGTCCCTCCAACAAACAGCTCAGGAGATTCCAAA